ACAACTGTCTAGTCTCCACAACTAGAAAATTGTGATTCAGTCAGTCTAGAGTCTGGGCCAGGAACCTGCATTTTTAACAGCTATCCATTCTTTTCCATCCTTGCTGCTGCCCTTAAAGTCTTCACTATTTCCTGTCTGGGACACTTCTGCCTCTTAACTGACCTTCCTACCTCAATCACCTTCCTCTTTCTCACCCAGCATCTGCTCCCAACTTACCGTAATCTTTCCGGGCATAGCTCTGTTCATGATGTTCCCCTAATTTAAAAACAATGTTCAAAGTGTCCCCCAAGATGTCAGCCTGACATTCAGGTCCCTCCATTACTCAGGCCCAACCCACATGCAAATTACTATAAAATAGTTAAAGAAATAATTGCCAGCCTTAATTTCCATTTATCATACTTCACTGTCACAATCTGTTTGAAATGAATTACAAAAACATGTAAAGACAATAATCATTTATCTAAGTGACTTACAGGTGACCTATAAAAGCTGTATCTGTCCATCATAGTGGGTGTGAAGTGACATTTCATTGTGGTTTTAATTTGCATTTGCCTGATGAATAATATGTTGCACATTTTTTCGTGTGCTTATTTGCCATCTATATATCTTAGGAGAAGTGTGTTTTAGAATTCCTTCTTCATATTTTAATTGGCTTATTTGACTTTTTATTATTGAATTGTTACAGTTTTTTATATATTCCAGAAACAAATTCCTTATCAGATATATGATTTGCAAATATTTTCTTCCATTCTGTGGATTGTCTTTTTTTTTCATGGTATCCTCTGAAACACAAGAGTATTTAATTTCAAGGAAGTTAATTTTTTTGTAACTCATGTTTTTGGTGCTGTATCTAAGAAGACTTTGTATAACCTTTTGTGACAGCATGGTTGGAACTGGAGACTATTATGCTAAGTGAAATAAGCCAGTTGGTGAAAGACAAATGCCATATGATCTCACATATAAGAAGAATCTAATGAACAAAATAAACTAATGAGCAAAATAGAACCAAAGACATGGAAACATGGAACAGACTGACAACTGTCAGAGGGGAGGGGTGTGAGGGATAATGGTGGAAAGAAGGGGAAGGGATGAGTCAAAAAACATGTGTGAATGACCCATGGACATGGACAATGGTGTGGAGATCGACTGTGGGGGTGGCAGGTGGGATGGGCAGAGGAGAGCAAAGGGGGAAAATTAGGACAACTGTAACATAACAATGATAATAAAAAAGATAGTAACAAATGTTGGGAAAATACAGAGAAACTGGAACTTTTATATACTCCTAGTAAAAATGTAAAATGGTACAACCACTTAGATGCCCCCTACTTTGCTGGCCTCACTCCCAGGTCTCTCCATCTTAATGTTCATGTATCCCCACCCCAGCCCAGCAGCCTGCAGTCCAACTGCACCTTACACTGGGGAGTGACCAAGCAGATGTGGAACGTGGCAGGGCACCTCTCACGCCAGGACCTCCACAGAGCAGGGAGAATAAACAGGTTCCATTCTTCCCAGCTCCAACTCCAGTCACTACCTGTGGCTTCCTAGAGTGTCATACTGAGAAAACATACATGGCCCCAACCTGGCAAGAAATCTCACCATGGTGGACTAGTGATGTCTTGGGCTAGGGAGTGGCAGGACTGGAAGGCATGTCACCTAGCTGCCATGCCTGGAGGTCCTGCAGACTCTGGAGCAGCACCCTCCAGGGGAACCCTCGTAAGCAGTTACCACATGATCTGGTAATTCTACTACTAGGCACATGCCCAAGAGAAATTAAAACATTATGTCCACACTAAAACTTGTACACAAACACTCACAGCAGCATTATTCCTAAAAGCCAAGAAGTAAAAACAATTCAAATGCCCATCAAGTGAATGGATAAATAAAATGTGGCATATCACACAATGGAATATTACTTGGAAATAAAAAAGAATGTAGTACTAATATATGCTACAACTTGGCTAAACCTTAAAACCTTGCTAAGTGAAAGAAGGCAGTCACAAAAGATCACTTATTGTAATTCCATTTAGATAACATGCCTAGAATAGACAAAACTATAGAAATGTAAAGTATATTAGTAGCTGCCTCGAGCACAGTGTTGGGGAGAAATGAGGGACAAATGCCAATGGGTAGGTTTCTTTTTGAGTGATAAAAATGTTCTCAAATTGGTTGCGGTGATGTTGCACAATTCTGTAATATTTTACATTTTAAATGAGTGAATTGGATAGTATGTGAATTACATCTCAATAAAACAATTACATATATAACAGAAGAAAATGAAATTATAATCTTAAAAGCATCTGAAAATGCCCTGCCACAACAGGAAACATCTTTGAAGTCTCATTTTCCCTCAAAAGTTATGTGAAATTTGTAGTTCACAATACAGACTTGGGTGTTTTAATATAAAAATATCTTATACTACTTCCCATATGCAAAACAACAAACAAAAACCAGCATCTGCTCCTCTCTCTCATGAAATACATGTAAATCAAAATCTTTCTTCCCCAAATCTTGAGTGAAAAGGATCTTCATTGTGCACGGGCTGTTTATCCTGAGGCTAGCAATCCCTTAGTACACTGCTAGGATCCAGGTGCCCCAGTCCTTGTCCCCAGGACTAGAAGCACAGGCAACGGGGAAAGATTATAGGCTCTGAAACCATAAGGATCCCAGAACTTGAGCCCATGCTTACCAGATGGGCAGTCTTAGACAGATCTAACTCTTACCGGTTTCAGTTTCCTTGTGTGTAAAATGGGGATGCATAAAGTGTTATAGAACAGACCATCAAATTTTGTTTCCCTTTATCTATTCTAGTTACAAGCTGTTATGTTGCAAAAAAGTCTGTGCCATGAAAGGCAGGTGATATTAGTGTGAAACTATAAAATAACTAGAAATAATTTAGTCTAATACCGGTTTACATATGATGAAGCTGAAGGTCAGTGGTTGCCCAAGCTCAGAAGACAGTGAGTAGCTTTATTGTGCCCTTACCAATTTCATGTCCTCTACAAGTTTACAAGTCTAGTAATAATCTCCAAACTATTAACAGAACTTTTCCTGCCAGGACATCTTTCATTAGCAGTGCCTGTATCTAGGTCTACCACATACTGTTTCACTCTAACAGGCAGTGTTAAAATATAAACAAAACAACAGTGAGTTCTCAAATAGTTTTCTAGATATAAAAATCACTAATTGTTATATTAGAAAACATTTGGAGACATTCTGTAATTTTTTCAAGGCAAAAAATAAAAAAAAGAAGGGAAAAGAAAGCAGACTTATCTAGACGATATCCAAATATCCCCAACAGTACCTACTACTAGTAGGTAGTCTTCTTCAATTGAGGAGACAAAACACACTCTGCCTCGCCTGGGACAACTTTCGTACCTGGATGGAATGCCTGTCAGGCCATTCTCACCGGCACTCTTAGCCCATGTGAAGCCGGGAGAGTCTAACTGTTACAGGATGTGGTAAAAGATATTTGTCACCATCAGTGTGCCATCTGCTCCACAACACAAAAGCTTTATTCTCAGCACTTCGCAAATACTATTTGTAATGAAACTCCCATACGGCTTTAAAGTCTATGCACACAGATAACATAGATGGTTTCCTTTACATTATTATGTTATTATCTTACTATACGAAGAGGAAAACAGTAACTACTCTCTAAAAGACTTTCTCAGGCTTCTTCAGGATTCTCCAATTTTCCAGAGCGCAGAAAACTGTCTACCAATTATCTTCAAAAAGGCTACAGTTATGTTACTTTCTACATAATAGAATACTCCCCATATACTCCTTGTGCTTTCAACAAAATTTCTCCCAAATATTTTGTAGCTAATTTAAGAGAAAGGAGGAGATAGTTTATGTATATTAAATTTCCTGGAACAAACTCTGGGAAAAGGAGGAGAGAAAAGAAAATCATAATATTAAAATGATTAGACGACTTCCTACATAGTATTGTTCTTGGCAAGATGTCAAGGCCCGGTCCACCAAACGACTCGGTGATTCAGCAAAACCCTCCGGAGTCCGCCGCGTCTGCGAGCCCGACCCTCGCTGGGCGACGGAACGCCGTCACCGCGCAGGGCTGCTGCGCCCCGAAGGGAAGCGTTGTTTGTCAAGTGCCTGACGAACAGTAGTCCGGCCTTTAAAAAAGCACTTAAGGTATTACTTTCAAGGTCCGGCTTTGTAGGAAATTCGTTTTTAAATGGGATTATAGAATTACCATGACCTCGAATCTAATTCTCAGACAGGTGCACGTCAACGCCCGTGACAGCGTTTCTTTAGAATCAAACGCCCGCCCCGCCGGCCTGCTCGCCCTCCTCACCTTCGCCCACCTCGGTCTCCCCGCGGCCTCCAGCCAACCTCCCTCTCCTCACCCCTCAGGCCACAGCCCTCCGCAACCCCACCCCTAACCCACCTGCTAAACTGTCGTCTCACTCCCCACCTCCCGCGCCTCCGCCGCGACGTCCGTGCCCGCCAGGTCCTTTTGAGGACGTCGCCCCCGGCGTCCCAGGACGTGGTGGCGGGGGTCGGGGGCACTGTCGTGAGGGGGAGGAAGGGGGACGAGGAGTAAGGGGCTGTTTCTCACCACCTGTACTTTTAAAAGCCCCCAGTGGACTGACACGGGTGGCATTTCCCTCCAGGACACTGCACGCGGTTGGCTCACACTCACCCGCCGCCACCTCCTCTTTCCAGGGCACGCAACCGGCGCTCGCGTAACGCGGCGCTCGCGGGTCCGGGGGGCGAGGGAGACTTGAAGGGACCAGGGCGAGACGCAGCTCTTCCTGAGGCGCCTGCGCAATAACGGGCGCCCCTACAGCGGTTGACAACCCCAACCTCCCGGAATCTACCCGGCCTGGGGCGCTTCAGAGAGTGCGCAGCTGCCCCGAAGGCGACTGCGGAACAGGCTTGGAGCCGGCGGGACGCCGCGGGCGGTGGAGTCTGAGACCTGTCCTCGGATTGGATGCCGGGGCCGCCTAAAATGTAACTCTCTTTCCGATTGGTTAAGTTCAGGTACAACCTGGCGACAGCAGCTCCGGTAGAGTCCAACTGGGCTTAAGGAAGGAGATTCGTTCCTCTCTTCTCCCAGGCCCCTTTCATATCATCCTAGGGCTGAATGCCCTTCGGGGGACCTGAAACAAAGTAAGTCCTGGAATGGCCCTGGCTATTGCCCAGTCCCCGCCTACTTCCACGCCCACTCTTCCCCCTAGTTAATGTACACCCTGCGGTTTAGGTGTCCCCAGGGAAAACGACTTTGGAGTCACCAGGACCTAGCATAAATCTGGAGCAGCTTCAACCAGTCCCGGTGAGCTTGAATAAATACGGTGTGGTTCCATCACAGCATTATCTGTTTGTCTTACTGTGCAGGTGAGCACCTTTACACGGAAAGTGCTGAGGCAGTTTTCAAGCAAAATTACAAGAAACACCTAAACACAGCCCTTACAGTAGCCCTTACAGTACAATAATCGGTATCAGCAAAGAAACGGGCATCTCTTTTGACAGTTGCATAGGGGATTGTGCTCATCCCTTTAACTAGAAATTTAGTCAATCGTGGTAACTTTAAGCTTACTAATAGAAAGAGAAATTACCAAACAGAAGTAAATTTATTTGTTAACACTTTGGTTACCCAGGTACACTTGGCATACAGCAGACAGAATCGTTTTTCTCTTTGCATCTGCAGTGCCAAACACAGAACCTGGCATAGAAAAAGTACTTACTAAATGATTATTGAATTTAATGAAATGTTTTAAGGTGCTCTGGATTTATTATCCCCACTGTTAAAATGCAAACTCCAAGAGGATATTTTCTTTCCTGTTCATTACTGTAGCTCCAGCAGGTGCTTTAAAATGTACAATTAAATGGATTAAGAATATTAGTCATATCCCTGGCCCATAGCTCAACTGGTTAGAGCATCAGCCTAATATGCCAAAGTTGTAAGTTGGATGCCTGGTCAGGACACTTATAAGAAACAACCAATAAATGCATAAATAAGTGGAACAACAAACTGATGTTTCTCTCCCCCTTCTTCTCTCTCTCTCTCTCTCCCTTCTTTCTCACCCGGTTTTTCATGCATTCTCTCCATAGTGACCATGCAGGTCTAGCAGCCCATGTGGACTCTAAATGCAGGCTCCAAGAGGGAGCCTGGGTGCAGCAGTGCAGCCAGGAACAGCACTAAGTTACCTGGATGGGAACTGAGACTGCTTAGCAGCCACCTGCAGGCTTCAAAGGACTAAGCTTTAGTATGAAACAGAAACCTGGACACTGGCATTTGTTTTGACCTTTGCTGAAGATGCATTTGGACTATTTCCATGGCAGGCCGAACAGAAATGTGATACAGAGAAACCATTTGTTTCCACCCAAATAAATCTTGCCACACCACAACTTCCTACACATGAGTCTGTGAAATGCTTTTGTTGCGATCCTGTGAACGAACGCGATTTCCACCGGCAGCAGGAGCAATAGTTTAAATCTGTCATTTATAAATGAACGTCTTATCACAGAGCCAACTAACTTGGCTAACTTTACAAAACTAAAGTAGAAATACAGTCTTCACCTTCATGCCAATGTCAGATTTTCCAACGGCATGTTAGATGAGGCAGTTCCCCAACCCCCAGCTCCATAATGCCCCCCCATTATCTAGACTTAAGATTTAGCATTTATTCATTAGCATAAACTACTTCTAAAATTTTACCCTGTTTTCAAAATCAAAGACAGCTCTTTATACAGTTATTTCTCTTTTAAACTCCTAATTATGCTGATGGAAATGGGTCAAAAGTTAGAAGTTACAGGAAAAAATTCTAAGAGCAAGAGCCACACCCTGCCCAATTCCTGTCCACTGCCCAGCTCTGATTAAACAACAAAACTGAAACTAGTAAACTGAATTTGAAATCATTGGGAGAGTATTTTGAGTTTCACTTTTTAATATACATTAGATATTAGTTCAATGCAAAAACATCAAAGAGGTTTTATCTTAAATATAACAGGGAAGTCTTACCGAACCCAACAAGTGGGGGCGGGGGTTCCTACGGCTCGCCACCTACCAGGCAAATCTCCAAAGACAGAGTTCAGTAGAAAAGACAAGAATCTTTCATTTAATAATGTAATAAAAATAAGGGGAAAGAAAAAGTCAGACCATGCATAAAAAATAGCTCTTTAAATATTTGTCATTATAACTCCTACATACCTTCACGAACTGAAAATAAGAAATCTATTTACAGTGCTGACTATTATCACCATGGTGTTTGGAAACAATGGCAATTTTTCACCTGATCTCCATAGAGGAGCCCATCTCCTCTAAGACACCCAAAGAAAAATCACCCTGACACCGTCTATTCTAGCTCAGTTCAAGGTTGCACCAGGAACCCAAGGGTATCATAAACATAGGTGGCTTAGCTGGTCTCCATTCGCTGTCCAGCCCCAGGCATCTTTCCCAGTCTGTGCCCCCAGGCCTCTGCTCACAGGCCTGCCCTGGCCACCACTTGCAAGCCCACAGGTGACTGTTGGCATGCCCTCACCAGGGGAGGGAAAACAACCAACTGACTTCATGCTTTCCAGCGTGCTCCATTCACAGGTCCTCTCCCAGCATCCCATGTGCTCTAAAAGCCAGTGGAAGTGCCCCGCTTTCGAGCCAGTGAGGGCCAGTGTTGGCCATGTGTGCCTTTGCCCCTCTTCTGGCCACCATGTTCAGCAAGGGGACAAACACTCCAGTCATACATGCTCTGTACAAGCTCCTTTCTCTGGTACCACCCCCACCCGCCCCTTTACAGGGAGGACAAGCCACTTCTTCATTTTTTTTTATAACTGGCAATTTGCACATCTTTTTTAAAAAAATAGATTTTATTTATTTTTAGAGAGAGAGGAAGGGAGGGAGAAAGAGAGGGAAAGAAACATCAAAGTGTGGTTGCCTCTCACATGTCCCCCCTACTGGGGACCTGGCCCGCAACCCAGGCATGTGCTCTGACTGGGAATCCAACCAGTGACCCTTTGGTTTGCAGGCTGGCACTCAGTCCACTGAGCCACACCAGCCGGGGCAGGACAAGCCACTTCTAACCTTCAATTTCACCTTGGGGTTTTCTCCCTGCCTCCTGCCTTCTCTTGGTGATTAGGTCTGACCTCTCTGTTACAGGAGGGCCTTAGAAATCATAGTACTTTAGTGATTTTGAAAGTTTATTTAACTAAAACTCTTCATCCTTTACATTTTCAGCAAGGTTGCATTTAAATAATCTCAATCAAGATTGTAAACTGTTTTTAAATGCTCCTATAAAGAGTGGTTCTGTAACATTCATCACAAACTATTTAGTGTTAGACATTCTTCACTCTAAAGAATTTTTTCAAGTATTTAATAAAGTAGTGCAAGAGACAGTATAAATTCTTTTGAAACTTTTCTATGTGGAAGGCAATGGGCTCAATTTTTCAAAAGGTACAAAAATAAGTAAGATTCTGTCCCTGTCCTCAACGTGCCTCCAGTCTAGACAGCCGAATGGAGAGGGATATGATTCTCTTGCTTTAGCCTGCCTAGAATTCATTTCCTCATCTTTTGATGATCCCTCAGGAAACCATTCCATTTTCACCCTTAGTCATTGTGTTATTGAACAAAAAATGGGAATTTGTGTGCCACCACAAAAGCTAAACTTGCGAGGCAGTTGCTGCTGTACAAGGAAAGAGGTTTTACTCAGATGCTGTATGATCTGGGAGAATGGTGGACTGTGTGTCTCAAAGCTCATGTCCTTTACAAAACCAGGACAAAGTACAACTTTCCTCAGCAATACTGAAACAAAAGCCAGGGACCAGAGGTCTTGCTCTATTTTAAAGTACTGGACTATCCTTTGGAGCACCCAGGTGGCTGCTAAGTTATCCCTGTAGCTTAGCTTGTTCCTGGCTACTGTCCATTTTAGGCTTGCACATGCTGATTATGGATTATGCAGCTGCTGGGGCCACGAGGTTGCACAAACGCACCAGCTTTGGCATTACCAGGTGGGTGACAGAGCAAGAGGGGCTCCCTCCTGGAGGCCACGAGCCACATGACTCATGGAGAGGACAGGTCAGTGCACCATCTGAGTGTAGGTCCCAAGCAGTGAACTGTGGGCAAGAGTTTCTTTGTCCTCCTGAGACAAAGGCATAATCTTACCTATCTCTGGGGCTAGAGGGTCTTGCTATTTAACAAAGGTAAGAGGTAAGGCTCAAGGAATGAAGGGGAAGCCTTTTTATGAGAGAGAATGATTTTACAAAGTCCAGATCAGTTGACTGTCCCTAGGAAGTGGAATATTCGATGTCTAAAGGATGGCATTGCTGAACAAGTGGGCACCCTTGTTGTATTCTAGAGGTAAAAAACTTGACAAGAGGTTAACAGACATAGTCCAAGAATGAGGAGAACTACAGCAACTAAAGGTCATGCCACACCTGTCTGAAGCCTTTTGTCCACCATACTTAACTCAAATTAGGCTGAAGGGAATATTCTAAGATTCTTCCCCCCCCACCAAAGAATTGTGGGCCTTTTCTATCTGAACCATTAAGGCAGAAAAAGAAAGTAGTTTTAAATAAGCTGATAGACTGCTCCATATTTCACAGTTCAACCCTCTAGTCCCGACAAGTCAATCCTGCCAAACCATAGAGTCTCATTTCAGGAGAAGGCAATACAGATGAGCTTTTTAAGTAAGGCCTATTGTGTAAACAAGCAACCAGGTTAAATAAGGTCATAAACATGCATCCTATGAAAACAGAAAGAAGAATACAAAGGTTTATGAGCCCAGCAAATCATAACCCAGTCTCTGAGCCTGTAAGACTGTCAGTTCAGAAGATGTCCAATAGCAAGGCTTTTGCTGGAATAAAATTAAGCAGTGACAATTTGACAAATTCTTCTTGTCTGTAATTTGAGCATCTCTGGTGATGTCATCAGGTGCCAAGGTAAAGTCTGTATGGCACAAACAGATGCAGTCCTAAAAAAAAGTTTAGTTTCCAATAATTACCAGTCCAAACGGGAGAGAAAAAAAATGAAACATTAGCTTGAAGAGTTGAAGGCAACTAGGAGAATTCAGGAACCAGTTCAGCTTCCAAGTGAAAACAAAACTTTGAAGACAGTAAGCTGTATTAGAGTCCAATATCCATAGTTAGGCATTGTGATTTTCATTGAAACAATTTTTCTCCCTAAAATCATCCTCATTGTCATCAAAGAGACTGCATTAAGTACAGTTTTAATTTGGCCTGATTATTTGCATAAACAAAACAAGAATAGCAATTCACTACATAGGCTCTTTACACAAGGAATTTTTAGACTGAATTTTAGTCAGCTTTGGCATAGAAGCCAAGCCACACACCTGCCATAAGGCTTTGCCTGCAATACCTAAAGGTTTGGGTAAATTCCTCAAGCTCTTGAGGTTTCCCAACATGTGTTGAGGTTCCTTCCTTGCCATCTTTCAGGAAAGCTCCCATGGTTCCTTACCTGGAAACACTTCCATGAACCAGGTGACCCAGCCACTTTGTATCAGGCTATTTCCACAATGGACTTTCATTAGCTTCTAAAGTCAATCTCAATTCCTCAAGTCTTTCTTGTGACTTCCAGAGTCTAGGCATATCTCTTTTCGACATGACATCCCAGTCACAGTCTTGGTTACTAAAAGCATGATTGGAAATTGATCTATGGAGAGAAATGTACTGTCATGACTCACCTACTAAAAATTGCCAAATTCTGAGGGCTCAGGTAGGGAGAAAATGTATAAAGCAAAAGTGAAAATCCTTGTCCTTTTAGCAGTGAAAAGGACCAAACTCCAACTGTGTATTAGATAGCTAAAGGTAGGCAATTAGCATTCCTTAGATTAGCAAATACATTCCATAAATTCTAGAAACATAGGCTTTTTGATTGGCAAGTACTCACACTTTTGAGAGGCATACTTTCATGAGACAGGTATTATAAAGCAAAACTCAATGATTTAAAAAGTTACAGGTGAAAGAAGTTAAATTGGTATGCTCAGATGGCCAAGGCTTTTGGTCTTGATAAAATCTAGGAGACCATACTTTTGCATATCAAAGGCAGACTTTGCTTTCACAAAGCCAAATACTGATAAGTCCTTTCCTTGAGAAATCCAGAGTCTCCGGGGAGAGAAAACCATTTCATCCTCATAAGAGAGGGAGATATGGGTGCTGAGGGAAGTCAGAGCATCCTTTGTGCTTCCTAGCTCCCTGTCACACACCAAAAACCAGGGATGGCCAGTGTACCCACACTGTTTCTAAGAAAATGGCAGCCTGCCTTAATTTCCCTTTTTCTGGGCGTGGTAAACTTTAAAGGCTATATCCACCAGCTAGGAGAGATTCATTCCCAACACACCGTCTAAACATTGGAGTTTCCTTCTGATATCTGGGGCATTTTGCT